GTTTTTACAAAAACTACTTTAACCTTCACATAATTTAAAGAGATTTAAATATTTTGGTCCGGCCATCCCATTTGTGGACAATAAACCATCCACGTCTGTAATTCATTCATAAACGTAATCCTATTCGGAATTCACTAATGCCTTCTTTGAAGACCAGATAAGTTGATTGTGTTTAACACGTTTATTTTCTTGGGTGATATTTTCTACGAGATTAAACACGTATTTAGGGGTTTTTGACGGCCTGGAGGGACAGCTGAATAAAAATTTGTACGGCAATAAAATTATATTTTTTCAGTAAATTATTTCTATAGGAAACGTACCCCTTAAGTTTCTTATGTTTCTTTTACTGTATCCTGTCTTTTTTATGAATAGTAAAACACTACAATATTTCAATATGATTGGAAAGTCAATGAACAAGTATTTCGTTAGCAGTTTATACAGTTAAGCTTAATAATGTTTTTATAGTTTATTAACTTTAGTTTTTATGTTCTTAAGAGGCTTTGTCCGCTCATAGTACAGGTAAATGAGCAAAAAACTGTGACAAATCCAGGTATAATATCTGAAAATTGTTTTAGTTAGGTATTATAGGCATATAAAAAGAGAATAGGTATATATTATGTTTTCTATAGATATTTTGGCGTCGTTTTTTAATTATCAATAATTTAGTGTAAAAAATTATATTTTTTAGATTTGAGGTAAAATTACAAAACTTTATCGTTTAAAACGCTTAAAAACGCTTTAAAAAGCTTAAAATGGCATTGCTAAAAGATGTAAAATTAATTTATTCCTTCGAAAACTGTAAAATAAGGAAAAACCGTTAATTATTTATCACTATGGTAAAAGATCAACCTAGATATTTGTTCTTGCGCTCAAAGTTGGGTACTTGATGATTAATTTAACACACAAATGAAAATTTAAGAGTTAAAATGTTAAAAGTTATCAAAAAATAAGGTTAAAAAAATTTTTTATTAACAAAAATCTTTTTGCATAATTACTGTTATTTTTGAGAACTAAGCTCGTTAAGCCCACTTATCCTTCATATAATAATGGATGATATAATACAAGCAGTACGTAAAGGTTAAAGACCTTGAACTCTGAAAGAGAATAAAATGATATAGAACAGCTATGGGAAACGACTGCCGAAATAATAACCAAGACAGCGGACAAGATCTTTGGAAGGAGTAGGCAGAAGAAGGCAAAAACATGGTATGACGAGGAATGTTGGAAACAGCTGGAAAAAGACAAACACAACTGCAAACAGACCAAAGTAAAAAGGAATATGACGACTGCCGAAAAGAAACAAGACAAATAATATGTACAAAGAAAAGAAACTATGAACAACAAAAATGTGAAGCTGTGGAGAGAGACCGGCCCAAACCAGGCACCAGAGAATTCTATAAAGCAATTTCCTTTGAGAACAGAAGACTTAGAACTTATTCCATTTATAAAATAAGAGACAATCAAGGTCGTATGATAATCGATGGTAAAGAAGTAACTGAAGAATGGAAAGAGTATTTTAGGGACCTTTTAAACATCATACAGGAAGAACAGCACAAAGAAGAGCTCTATATCACAGCGGACATGCCCGTCAAAAATCCCTCCTTTGAAGAAACCCAAAGGGCCTTAAATGAGCTGAAAAATCACAAAGCGCCGAGTACGGACGAGATACCAGCAGAACTTCTGAAATATGGGGTGAGACGCACTACATCGCCAAATCCACCAGCTAATAACGCACATATGGTTAGAAGAATGAATATCAGTACGATGGAAGGAAAACATAATGGTGCCCAAAAATTTAGGGCAAATAGATCAACAATAGATCAACTATTCACGCTGAGACAACTTCTAGAAAAGAGTTGGGAGTATAACAGACCATACACAATCTTTTCATATATTTTCGACAGGCATATGATAGCGTAGAAAGATGCCAAGTATGGAATGCCATGGCGGAGTTCTCAATACCAAAGAAACTCATTCGGATAACCAAAGTCTGTATAGACGGTGGAATATCTAAAGTACGTGTAAATAATAAAACTGCCTGGCAACTTTGAAATCAACAGTGGACTCAAACAGGGTGGTGCATTATCTCTACTACTTTTTAACCTTGTATTACAGAAAGCCATGAGGTCGGCCGAAATAAAAACAAAATTGCTATCGGTTCAAGTTGTTACTCGCATATGCAGATGACAGAGCTCTCGTTGGAGACTTCAACCTATCCACGAAAGACATTTTCAACAAGGTGGAAGGAGCAACAAGTGAAGTAGGGCTGAAGAATTAATGAAGAGAATCTTGTAAGTATGAAATTGAAAAATGCCTAAGTCAGAAGATTCTAAGAATATATTTGATTGATGTAGAAGACACGAAAATGTCTACCCGTCATTATCGAAAATGGCCAAGGATTTTCTCGGAACGCCAGCAACATCTTTACCTGCGGAAAGGCTATTTTCAAAAGCAACTTTAACAACAGCAAAGCCAAGAAATCGGCTAGGGGTTGACTCCATGAGAAGTTTTATCTGCCTTAATTCATGGCTTATCAATTCCGATTTAAAAATGTGATAAAGTTATTTAAAATAATATCTAGTTTGTAATTTTATTTTCAACAGGATTAGGTAAGTATCATTTATTGTTTTTAATTTACAATTTGTAAGATCAAGACAAGATCTTGAAATGTTCAAGAACTTGGCGAACCCTACAGCTGATTTAGCAAGTAAAAGTACAAAACAGAAGAGATTTGGGTAGACGTAGAATTTCTTGTCTCTATAATGTTAGAAAGTGAACTATCTTCAGCTGGGGTATTTAAAGCAGCAGCAAGTAGAGTAAAATGGCTAAGTATTTTCAAAGTTTAAAGGAACTTACACTGTGTTAAAATATAAAAGGATATAAAGTATAGAAATCTATAAGGATATAAAGGATAGAAATCTATAAAGATATACCTGGATAGCAATCTATAAGAATATAAAGGATTTGTAAGGATAATGATTGCAACTCTAATTGAACTTCGGCGAGAATTACAGATTTGTTACTACATATTGTTTCTGATATAGAAAATTGTATAATGATAGTGTGCTGAAAGTTTATTATTGATTAAATCGTCGTATAAAATAACAAAATCCTTATCTTCGGGATCTTCCTTCGTCCAACGGCAACTAAGCTTGTTTCTTACCACGCGTTCTACGTATTCTGAACGGCAAAACGGGCCCAACCAGATGCACGTCATAGTACATACCCCCCTAGTAAGGTAACTCCCATATAAAGTTTTGGAAGAGAGTTTCTAGCGCCAAATACGGACGGGCCGAAACTAATTTCATTTGGCGGCAAATTCAAAACATAAATTCAGAATTTTAGGCGGCAAATTCAAAAAATATGCTCTGAATTTTAGGCGCCAAAATTCAAAAAGTATGTTTTTAATGGAAAGTAAATATAGTCATAAAATAAGAAATAAAAACTTATTCTATGCCAGAAAATATATCCTCTCTGTCCAAAAATATAGTATACACCTACACATTTTTATATATATATATATAAATGTATAACATAATATCTGATACAGAGAGAGTATATATTATGGTACAAGAAAGTTTTTATTTAATATTTTATGATTATATCTGTTTTCCATTACATTAACAAACCAAAGTCCCAAAAATAACAAAATAAAACACAAACATCCTGACACTTGTTTATTTGTATAATTTTCTTTGGTAAAGTATTGGCAACATATCCTCCTCCTCCTCCTTACTTAAGCCCTTGCTAAGGTGTGGGTGGGACACTCTAAATATTGTTAACTTGCTGTCTCCATTGGCTGCAATTCTGTACCAGATGAACAACTTCGTGAAGGGATTTTTCCACCAATCTTCATTTAATCTTCCCATCATGTTGTGAGATCGTCATTTTGATATACAAATATAGATACCTCTATATTTATTAGCAATGGTTTGTAGTAAGTTCCATACCTTCTAAAATACTTTTCCTTAAAGTACCATATATGTAGATAATAAAGTGTAAACCCTAGCATGTCTGCGATCTTGCTCTTCACAATGATCACAAATTGGCATGTGACTCAATGTAACTGTTACTCAGAAGTAGAAGATCCATGAAAATCTAAAATAATGAAATATTATTAAAATTAAGAATGTATTGACTTTTTTTATAAAATAAGGCCAATTTTAGGAATGCAATTAAAAGAGTCATAAGAGTTTTTTTTATAAAATAAGGCAATGTTTAGGAATGCAGTGATAAGAGTTGAGTTTTAATGAGTTTAAAATCTATACAGTATATAAATATAAGATTAATGTTAGTTAAGATTGAAAGGTAAATTAACTACAAAAACAAAATAGTATCACGTTTGTATTTACTAAAAGTTTGGTATAATTAGGTGCTGTTCTTACCTGGTGCTTGTAAAAATAAACTCCTAATCCTCAGAATGTTTAATAGCCGTTTGTCCAATAACTTTCACCCATCAACAAAAAATATTCTTCCGAAATACTATACCATTTTGGTAATGTACCTTCTTCTTTAGCAGGTCTATTAGATATATAAAATTTGATATATACTGTTTTTATCGTCTATTTCTAAAATTTGGGATACGACTATTGTAAACAGTGTGGTGTAGAATTGTTTATTTTCCTCATAATAAATGTCCCATTATGAAAACAAATCCATTTCATTTTTTGGGTTTGGAAAACGAAATCGACTGTTTGTGTAGTCGGTGCAACCATGAACATAACATTGTTTTACCTTTTATTCTATTTTGTTCCATTTCAACGATGGTAAAACACAATTTTTACAATTAAGATGATAATAACCAAATCCAAACAAAAATCTGAATTTGCAATATGGCGTCCCAATCTAAATTAAATTTCGCCACAGCACATGCGTCTCCACCTCCCACCTAACGTGACTAGTAGCGCCGCCGCCATTAAAAACGGATGGGCCCATGCAAAACACTATCCCCTCCCGTCCTATTCTACTTACACTACTATGGGGTATGTATTGTGATGCACGTTTATTTGATCGCCAGCCGTCGTTCGGTTCGTGCTCTCTTCAGAGGGAGATAAAACACGTACAATCTCGTCATCTTCTCACCTGTTTCGAAAACCGCGCACAGATCGGCGAGATGTAGCCCTTTTCGACTTCCGCAAAACTATTCACGCTATTTCCGGTGGAAATTCAAAGTCTAGCACGTAATCGCGCCGTTGTTTTTTGAGAAAACGGCCACAGGAGAGACTTTGCGCTATAATTAGATGTGTTGTTGCAATGTTGCTGGACAATTTTAATTTCAAATGTGTATTGTGGAAATGTGATTTCAGTGTACCATGAATTTTGTTGAAGAGACCGGAAATATGGTATGCTGCTGCCGGAAAAATCTGTTTTAAAAGGTTAGCACACAAAAGAATTCTATTTTGCATGTAATGTATTTACCTTATTTTAATTAAAAACAGTTTTTTAATTTATTTATTCATTAAATGATACTTGTAATATTAAAAATATTATACGGTTACGGAAAAGGTTTATTTTATTTATATCATATCTGAAATATATTAAATAAGTCGCCTTTATATTTATAATTTTAACTCAAAATTGATCAATGTAAATCAAAATTGATTTCTAAACATTTATTAAACGTTATCAAGATTCGAAATTCAAAATTATTTTCACGAATTTGTATAATTCACCAGGCAAATTTATTAACTTTTAAATTTAAGGTAAATATTTTCATTCAGAGATTTGCCGAAAATCGTGTATTTGTTGGACCTGGAAACTCGAGAAAATTCCAAATTTTAACGATTATCATGCTGGAAGTTATAAAAGGTATAAAAAGAAAACAAAAATTAAAGTGGAATCAAAAGCGATATATTTATTATGTCATATGTAATAACACAATTTATTGTAATTATCTTTATTTGAACAACGTAACTTATATCATTATTGTTAATGTTTTTTGATTTTGTAAAATTCAGCATGAAAGAGAAGCAAAACTTCAAATTCTTCTGCCTTAAATATAACAAAAATTATTCACAATTCGTAAATTAAACTCATATTGTAGCATTTACTTGTTTTTATATGAAAAAAGGCAAAAAATAAAGTTCTAATCATCAAATTACATCAAATTTAGCAAAAAGTGTAGGAGCGCTGGCAAAATTTGAGGAAAAGGAGCTTTTAGAAATTAACAGTCACTTTTTTTATTTCTAATTGTTGTCACGGGTATACCATTATTTCATAGAAGTTTTAGGTTAACTATATCATACTTCCCCGTAGTCTGTGACATACAATTTCGTCTGGGATGCTCGTTTTGTTGGGTCTGTGCTAAATCTTCTGGCACCACAAATCATCGGCGTAAGATTTTCTTATTCTTCTTCTTCCTATTGTTGAAACATCTCTGGACGTCTTTAATACATTATTTATTGTCATTCGGCTTATATGATCAATCCATTCTACTCTTTTCTCTCTACTATCTTTTTTAAATGTTTTCATCTCTGCTGTTTCTAACATCCTTTTTGTCCTCGGTGTTTCAGGTCTTGTTTCTGCTGCGTATGTCATTATTGGTCTGGTGACTGTTTTGTAAATTCTGCCTTACATTTTTCCCCTAATATTTTTATTTGCTCTGTTTGCTCTATTCTTGATCTACTTGATCTTCGACTTCAGTTTTGAGCTTTCCGTAGCTACATAATGGGATGCCTAGATAATTAAACTCTTACACTTGTTTTATTACCAAACGGCCGAGATAGAAGTACCCCCGCCAAGCCTGGAAGAAATTATCACGGCGATAGAAACCCTAAAAAATGACAAATCCCCGGGACTAGACAATATTGATGCAGAACTGATTAAAAAAGGAGGGCATGAACTTAGAACTTAAATACACCAATTAATGAAAGAAGCCTGGGAACAAGAAATAATGCCAAAAGAATGGAGTGGCTGTATTATCGTGCCAATACATAAAAAGGCAGAAAGGATGCATGTGGCAACTACAGAGGAATCTCACTAATGGTACTACATATAAGATATTAGCTTTAGTTGTACTAAAACGATTACTGCCATATACAGAGGAAATTATTGGCGATTACCAATGCGGCTTTAGGCCTGGAAGATCAACAATCGACCAAATATTTACTATCAGACAAATGCTTGAAAAGTATTGGGAATATAATAAAGAAGTACACCAGATCTTCGTAGATTTCAAACAAGCATATGATTCCATAGATCGCTTAAAACTGTGGAGTGCAATGATGGAGTTAGGCGTACCAAAGAAGCTGACCATGATTGCGCGAATATGTGTCAACAATTCCTTTGCACAAACTAGAATAGGAGGCAAAACTTCAAAGGCTTTTGGCATAAGCACCGGGCTCAGACAGGGAGACCCGCTGTCCCCATTACTATTTAACCTAGCATTGGAATACGCAATGCGAAAAATCTATACCAGAGTCAAACCAGACATAACTGCCAGAGGAGCAAAGATTATTCTGGCATTTGCAGATGATGTAGATGCAGTAGCACAGACAACACTGGAAGTTAAGGATATAGTATCGAACTTTGAAGAAGCAACACTAAGCGTAGGCCTGAAAATAAACGAAGAAAAAACTAAATACATGGTCGTATCAAAAAAGGAACGACAGCGAATAAGACAAAACATTACCATAAACGATCATAATTTTGAGGTGGTCAAAGAATTCAAATACCTAGGAGCAACAATTACCAGTGAAAACACAGGAGAACGGGAGGTTAAAATACGAATACTGGCGGGGAATAAATCATTCTTTTCCATTCAACATCTAATGAGGTCAAAGCTTATATATGTTAAAGCTATATATGTTAATATGTCTGTTTCTATTGATGTTCTTTGCTTTATTTCGTCATTACTTTTCCTATCCATTCTTGTTACTCTGCAGCATCTTACTCTGTTGCTACTACCTTACTGCTGTTTTTCTTGTTTATAATCCAATTTTCGGCACCATATGTCACAATACTACGCACTAATGTTTTATAAAGCTGTGTTTTTGTCTTCATATTTAGGTACTATCCCACCATACTAAGTTAAGTTGCCGGATTGCTGTTCTTGTTTGTCGTAATCTTTGCTTAATTTCTTTCTCTGTTGTGACCTTTTCGTGATTATAAATCCCAAGTATTTGAATTTACCATTTCCTTTGATTGTCACGTTGTCTTCAATCTGTAGATCTTCAATTCTATATCTTCTTCACTTGTACTCCGTTTTCACAAGGTTAATATCTAGGCCAGCCTTGGTATATTCTTCTTGTAGTTTCTTTATCATCTAACTGAGGTCTTCTTGGTCTTGTGCAATCACTACTTGATCGGCTCAACGCTTAACGTATATAGGTATTCGTTTCGTACAGGTACTCCCATGCCTTCGCATTTTCTTTTCTATGTAGTCAGGGCTTTTTCTAAGTATATTTTGAATAGGGTTGGAGATGTTAAACAACTCTGCAGGAGCTCTTTTGTTGTGGTAAAGTCTCCTATGATTCTTGTTCCCATTTTAATGGACACTTTTTTCATTATACAGAGCTTTTGTAGCTTCTATGAGTTCTGCCTGTATTTCTAATTTTTACATTGACTCCTGACTTTTTCGTAGTCAACGAAGCACAAGTGGAGGCCAATGTTTATATCTTGACACCGCTGAATCCGTATGTTCTATAACACTGTTTTTAGTTTCCTATTCTGAACGAAAAATGTAATACGTATTATAGACTCACTATACTAGCCACCGTAGACAAGAAAGTCAGCGAACAGTTTAAAATAAATTCATAAATATTTGCATACATTTATTTACATTTTGATGACAAGTCAAATACCTACGATAACAATATTGAATATAATTCTTTTTGTTCGGTAGCGACTCCAGTGTAGTTATTGATTTATAATTTTTATTAATAATAGATACCTTTTCCGTCATAAAATATTCAGGTTATGTAAACGAACTAGAAAAAGGTCTACAATATACGAGTGAATCCAGGATAAAATAGTCTGTTCGTACGAATAAAAGGTATTGGTCGACTTCTTTTATAAAAAAAATCTTTAAATCGAACCCAATGAAGGACATTGTACTGGAAAAAAATGTAAATAGATGGAATAATAGTATGAGGTGATAGTTATTGCAACATTCATTCAACATGACAGCTGACGGAATTCTGACTGTAGAGGAGTAATATTCCTTATGAATGAGAGCATTCAATACTGAGTGAAATAAGGCGACAGTAAGTTGTTCCCTCATTGCTGTTCCACCACATTTCAAAAAATTATTTGGTGTTCCATCTTCACTCTCAGCTAGCGTGTTTTTTAGTTTTTCATGTGTTTTTATACTTTGTGTTTGTGATTTCAACTTCATTTATTATTCCTCTGTATATAACTTCTTTAGATAATGAACCCGTGCATCATTTTCCATGTGTTTCGAGCCTATTAATACCAAGTGCGTCTGTTTCATTTCTTACTCTCTTGTAATCTTCGTAAGTCTATTGTGTCTTAGGTTAGATTGATTTTCCTAAATAGAAAGGAAGAACCAGAGACCACAAAGTTCTTTAAATCTAATAGAAAGCTAGTACCAAAGATGGCAGAACTGAGAAGAAACAAAGTCAATATCCTCACTCTTGGGGATAGAAACGAGAAGAATCCCAGAATGGTCTTTAAGAGGAAAGAATGTGACCATCACGCTAGTAGGAAAAAGAATAAGTAGAGGATGGTTCACCATCAAACCCAAGGAACAAAAGGGCGTGGTCATAATAAATAAAACTAAAGAAAAGTTGTTCATAGACCTAACGAAGGAAATTAATGAAAATCTGGCAAGAAAGAATAAGAAAGAACAGAATAAGACAGACAAGAAACCAAGGGATATTGGAACTGGAAGGAGAAAGAGAAGTGGCCGAGAAACTAAAGAAAATACCTTAGGGGAAAGAATGCGTATCCAAAGTGATGGCAAAAGGAGGCACTGTCCTAAAGAGGATCTTGGTGGAGGAATCCCATTCTGACACTACGGCAGAAGTGATCAAGAAAGTAGTAGAGGAAGCTGCAGGCAAAGAGTATGCTGATGACTTAGTCAAAGTCTAAACACGACAATGAAGGAAATTTAATATGAAAATGATACAAATCGACTTTACATCTTGTCGGATAGTGGAAGCAAGAGCAGAGATACTCAGATGCAGGAGATGCCTTTCCCTCGGACACAGACAATGGAACTGCAAGGTCCAAAACAGAAGAGGATGCCGCTTCCGATGTGGCAACGAGAGTCATTTAGTCGCTAAATGCAAAAGAAAAACGATATGCTTCAGTTGTAATGTATCTAACTACGTGGTAAACTCGAGGAGGTGTTATAGGTTCAACCGTCTGGTTAAGGATAGGCACACTAGACTCTAGTGTATAAAGCAACTTAAAC